GATATGTATTGCTTGTGGATTGATTAAATCAGTTTGTATTCCAATTGCGCAAGAGTAGATTTGTTCATTTTAACCCATTCACTGCCAGGCAAATTTAATGCATTTTGCCTTGGGCGTCAAGATTTAATACAGTTGTGTGATATAGGTTATTATTTTGATAATAAAAAATGATATTAACACGTTCACGGCGGTGCAGTGTTACACAGTATTTGATAGATGTTGGACTTTTTACTTGGTTTGGGATGAAACATGATTTCCTTTGGTACCACAAATCACAGAACAACTTATCTGCACGAGTTGATATAATATATTTGTTGGACAATATTCTCAAAGAACAATTGAACTTAAAACAAAAACGCGCGGACCAGGAGCCCGCCATTCGAACACACACACACACACTCTGACGCGTCAATTAACCGCGAGATTCAACAATAGACACGCGAGGGTGAGCCACTGGTGGTACACGCCGGCGTGAACGTATTAAATCTGTTGTTTTAAAAAGGAAATTTACCATTTTCCTTTGCAATAATTCGTGTCCCAAAGGCTAGAAACTACCCTTTGGATAATTGCAATCAATTTGAATTACGAGACATCTCGTAGTTGGCAGTGAATGGGTTAAGAACGTTTCCGTCATTTATTTTTGTACTATAAGTTTGGAATAAATTGAATAAAAATTGGAAAAAAATGGATATAAATTTTTAGCTCCTGATTTTAGAATGCTCCTAGGGCGTGCATGGTTTTCTTATTTTGATAAATTAGAGCAAGAGAACCTTTGATGTATCTTTATTAATCCAATGTTTCGATCAAAATGTACAGTGGGTGTAGAATGTATTCGTATACCGATCAATTTCCCAAAAAACTTTTGTGTTAAATTGTAGTTTCTTAACTTCCTCTTTTTATAATCAATGATATTTTACATATTCTCGGAAGTCTCTAAGATAGGTATAGTCCAAACAACATTTACTAGTTAATATAATTTGTGAAATGAGCAAAAAAAATTGCGGAAAGTAGGTAAAAGTATAGAAACAATAAGTATTTGGACGATTCTTATGACGAACCATTTACAGTAGAGTTTGTAACGTAAACACAATAGTTTATTGCTCCGTGCGAATTAGAAAACATCAAATTTCCAGGAAAGTACTTTTAAACAGTTGTGCGAATACTTATTGCTTCAACATTTTTATCGATTAATTGTTTTTTTCTTGTTAAGTTCGCAACTTACATAAATAGCTATTTTTTTTTTTTGAAATCTATCTATTCTAGAGATTTCGGAGAATATGTAGAATGTCACTGTTTATGAAAAATAAGTTAATAAATTACAATTTTACACAGTTTTTTTGGAAATTGATCAGTGTACGAATACTTTCTACACTCACTGTAAGTCTCCATTTATCAGATGGCCAAGAAGAGACATTATTTCCCTTCATGGCATCGAAAATAATTTCGTGTGCGTCTGACAGGCATATTTTGTTATTAAAAAACAAAAATTATGAAGTCTTTTTCGAACAAATCTCTATGTACAATGCTTAATAGCAAAAATATTTTACCATCTACGCAATTACAAAATATACAACGCCTAAATCTAATGAACTGCACTCTCTGCTACTCGTTAATTGTCCTATCGATAAAACGTGAGAAGCATCACTAGTGAAAGAGTACGCGCCGGAATATGAGAAGGTAATTATCACGCGCCGATTCTCGACATCGGTCATCGCGAAAAAAATGAACGGGGTAAAGAAAAAAAGGAGAAAACATAATTACCAAGCTTTCATCCGCGATTAATCATACGAATAACAGGTTCGAGAATAAAAATCGCATTAACCCACCTGTCGACCGATAAGTTTGCACAAGAAGATTAACGAGGCCCGTCGTCGGTGTTCAGCGAAAGTGCACGTGCATTCCAATTTGTCGCGGCGTTTCAGATCAACGCCGCGTTACGTTAGCAAACTGTCGTGCAAACGGACCCGTTCAACAAACAGAAGAGAAGAGAACTGAAGAAAATCAGTTGGCAACGTTCTTGTCAAAAAGTTCTAACTATACAGTATTTGGATCCATTTGCATTTACATCCATTTACATTTTACACATTCACAACTTTATTACATAATTTTTGCTGTACCAGTTTAGCATTTATCAAATTTTATTGCTTCATGCAGTTAAAAATTCTAACTAAATAGAAGCTAGATCCATTTGTGATATCCCATCGCTGACACTTTTTATGCTCGAAACTGTGTTGCATAATGTTTGTGATATCACTTTGAAATTTATCTATTCTGCTTACTTTTTACAATCAAGAATTCTGTCTGAATAGAAACTAGGTTTATATTTGATGCCTGATCCTTGATAGAGTCTGTATGCTGGCAACTTTGTTGCATATTCTTTGTAGTAACAGCTTGTAATTTGTCAATTCTTTTTGCTCTTTACGATTAAAAATTGTAACTGAATAGAAGCTGGACTCTTCATTCTGGCAACTTTCTTGCATAATTTTTGCAGTAGCAAAAGTTTAGAATTTATCATATTTTCGTATTTCTTACTGTCAAATATAAAGAGATATTGTAATATAAAGCCCTTCCTTCTTTAATCCATGTCTGCAGCCTAATAGGTGGCAACCAGAGTTGCAGACTGACAGGCGGGTTGCATTAAATCTACAGAGATTATAAACTCCAATTTAAGACTTCATATTACAATAAATGACCTCGTATGATAGGTCAATGAATTTGTGTAATGAAATGGGTTTGTCTCTTATTATGGATAAAAATATATAAAGTTTCATTTTAACAAATTAATTTGTTCTTCAAATGTCATCCACCATTTTACTTACAAAAATATTACTTGCTCCATATAATGTCCTCCATTGTACCAAATAACTTTTGTACAAATATTTTTTTATAATTTCATCATTTCGTTAGATATTTAACTACTCTGCTTTAAACAAAACAGCCTGTATATCTACTTACTAATAAAGTCTTCTTCTCATTTCAAGCGTACTTACGCTCCAATCTTTCTTCAAACTTTAAATCAATAATAATTTCGATTCATTATAATTTGATCATTGATCATACACACACTCATACGTACATAATTTTAAAACCATTCGATTTCTGCGTTAGTTTAAGAACTTAATGATAGGAAGATGAAAAAATTAAGATAAATAGGAATGCTTCCCCTCCGGTGTGCCCAACAGCTAGGAAAGTAAAAAAGAGGAGAAAATTGAACTTCGATTTGCGTACTCAACCGATTGTCATTATATTTATTTGCAGTACGTGACGACGCAGCTACTCTATCGATTCCTTCACGGGACATCTACTGCCTGTTCTGTGTTTAGCGTCGATGAGCCGCGACCATGATTTCGCACTACTTGATGGCGTTGCAGCTGCACCCGTTGCGCCAGTACATCTTAGTCGAACGCACCGTGACAGAGAATAATCGTAAGATTCGGTTAACTTAGACGGTGAGGGAATTTTGCATGTACTTTCAGTCCGGTGCACAGTGCGATATTTCAATGATCTAGTGGGACAAAACTTGTGGTCCAACATCTCGGAAATTATAAGGCCGTCCGCACACGAAGTTACTCAAAAGCAACGTAATTAATTGGTGACTGTAATCATAAACTAGTTACTTACTAAAACTATAATATTATATAGTTTTGGGTACTTTGAATTAATTCTTTGGAAACTGTTTAATCAATTTTTTACAAAAATGCCAATGTGACGTAGTGAACAAGGTAAAAGCATTTAAATGTTAGAAATTTATCATTCATTTCGGTAAAACGATGTTTACGTACAATTTCTACTTTCTTTTATAACACGGTAATGTGGAACACTCCGTAGATAAGCCAGGTCGCCTTTTTGATAATGTAAAATACTCTGTTCGTAAATCCATCGATCAATTAGGCCTCTACATTAACGAATCTTGTCGACAGAGTGGACTACACAGCCGACAATATCTTATCTCGTTCCCCATTCAAAGATTTGCATTAGAAACATGATATTTTACCGAATGCGCTACGTTAACTTTATTATGAAGAGTTACTTACAATGCAACATTTAAATACCTTCCAGTGCCTCAAAATACCTTTCAAACACTTTGACGTTAATCAATCAAACATTTATGTACATACATAGCATTCTAGGGATTCAAATAATCACAATATACCTTGCAATATGACAATTTTCCAGGTTAATAATTAACATACCACAGAAACTAAATCCTTCAGCGATGAAAATTCTTTCTTCTTGCTAAGGGATAAAACAATAACTCGAATGATTCTTTGCATAATTCACATCTAAGTGTCATTTGCGCCGGTAGAACTTTCCCCGGAAATTAATATTTGTGGAGCTGTGCGAGTAGTTAAATTGTCTCCTGCAATTACTCTTTTCTACCACACAATTATAACTGACGGACAATGCAGTATACTCTACGCTTTAGGTGACAACACTCCAGCGATTTAATTCGTAGAAGATGCACCGTTTTCACTGATAATGCCAGTGTCAGCATAATACTCGAGTAAATTAAAAATACAGTGAGCCAAACTTTCTGTCAAAATCTCCACAATTTTTAGATCTTCCTAAGTACGTTGAAGAAGGACGAGTTCTAACTGGCGCGTGATTCTGTCGACATTGCAACCAATTAGGTAAACAAGGATATTTGTGGTCCACGGTGAGATTAGAGATTACGCATGTTACGATGCAGTCGTAACGAAATGACATTTCTCCCTGGATCGTTGCCTCACGACTAGGCCTTCGTCGACGACGAAATGAACAAAAATCACCCTTTCCGAGATGTGTAATCACCGCCGCGTCTAATAGACCTCGGTGTAACTGGGACACAAACAGTTTACTGCACCGTTCGTGGGCGGCTAGTCCGTTTGATGAAACATTGCGAAACGTGCGGTTTCGTTGAGGAGCATCCAACCTGCGAGTAGCAACGGGAGGTGTTCGTATAAAAGGCGTTGTCACTTTGTTCGCCATGGTATACGCCAGTTGATTATGCGGCCATTAGAATGGGTACGTAGCCTCTTCCAATAGAGACTAGTTCCACGAATATTTCTTTGTGTCGGATACTAATCGAATCATACCACGAGTGCAGTTGGAGATATTGTTGTTGCTCAACCACGCCGCCGGACAAGCTCAACGGACGATCCGGCAAGCGGGGTATATTTACAACAGACCGAATATACCGTTTCCATTGCCAGGTCCTGATGATTCGCAAACATATCCTACTCCTGGAGATGTAGCTGCATATTTACCACCACAACAACCATCTACCCCTTCACCACCAGCGTACAACTATCCTCCACCACCTTCTCCGCCTCCAACACCTCCTCCACAACCGAAGTACGTAGCTCCACCGTCGCCTCCACCGCAACCGCCACCTCCGCCACAACCAAGTTATCCACCTCCACAACCAAGTTATCCACCTCCACCGCCACCATCTCCTCCACCACCACCAAC